AAATTTTAACTACATAAAACCTCGTGGTACACCAATGCTGGCAATCAAGATTAATAAGTAAAGCAAGCTAAAATATAACGATAAAGGCGATCTTATCACTAACAAGCGATCTCTTCGGGCGAAATAATACTAATTTAAATAAAGAGAGAGTCATTTGACTGAATTTCCGTTTTATGTCAATTATTACTTAAAAATATTTATTTATTTTTATTCATTTATTTCCTAGCTTAAGCCTATTTTTACAAAAATCCGATACAATAGACAAGCGAAATATGACAGGAACGTAACAATAGTAATTTAAGTAAAGATATGGATTAGGTTACTTTTGTGAGTAAACCAGTTCCTAAAGTATTATTTTTGGTATTTATAATTAGTGTCACTGACAAATGAATCGCTACATCTTACTTATCTAACTTACAATCCTTTACAAAAGTTAACGTTAAACGCGAACAAAACAATAGAAGCGCGCGCAATATTTTCTATAATCTCAATTTGGTCGTCATAAATATCTTGCATAATGAAAGCTGACGTAATAACGTCCGTTATCTAGAAACGATACCCCATTGACCGGCTGAGTTATAGCTGGTTTTAATGAAAACCTAAAGCCATTTCAACTGGGATGGAACACCGGATATTTTACTCGGATCCGGATAATTTTAACCCAATTTTAACGTCAAGCCGGTAACAGATAGATTCGTTTTGTCTTTGATCGCTTTAACTTATTTACTCCCAATAGTAGATGCTGACAAATGGAAGACAGCTGACTGCACATCAATCTAAACAATGTACATATTTAAATTTTATACATAGGTATTGTGTTAGAGACAATTTTGCAAAATGTAATAAACTATTATAATTCTGATGTGCCGTTATTTATGTAATAATAATAAAAATATTTAGAAAAAAACTCATAAAATTCATTTATTTTTGCAAATAGGCTTTTAAAAAGCACTTTTACACGTCCCAGTATTAACCCTACCACTGCTTCGGGATAATAAATGGGCCAGTCGCAGTCCTGAGAAGAAGAGGCGCAAGAAACTCAGTCACTATTGTCAGACATTTTTTTCAACGGTTTACAGTCTTTATTATTTATTGCCATTAAATCAATGTACAGAGTATTCTTATGACTAGCGGCTTCTGCACTAAGCATAGCTTGTGTCGCAGTATCCTTTTAGTTTTACAAGAAGGGATTTACTTTGGGGTCTGGGAATATTGATATTTAATATAGTAATTTATGTTTAGGCTATTTTGTTATTATTATATTGTTGTTACGTGTAATATGGGCTGCTACAATGAACAAATCAATTAGTCTGCGTGTAGTGTTAATATTACGAATGTATATTCTATGGAAGTTCTTAATAGGGATTCCTATAAATCAATAATTAGTCCCTTCAAATTGGTTCAAATTTTGAACTAATCCACAACATGAAAACCATGAATGTTTATCCGTTAGTCATGTTTTGTAATTTAATCAGAGTATTATATTGCTTGTTAATTAACAGTGGCTTCATTTAATTTTAGAGTCAATTATTTTGACAGCTTTCTGCAATACTGTATAGGATATTGTATTACTGAAACTACCAAAACAAACATAGTAAAACATTTTATGAAGTCAGCGAATCGAAAACAATGTTTGTATTAAGAGTCTGCGGGTCTTCACACACATGAAAATAGTTTTTTAATAGCTAAGACATCTCTTAATATGGTTCTTTCTAATGGGACTGTGTTTAGTCTTTTTCTTTTTATCCACAACGAGGAAGCTCTTGGCCTGTATCTCACCTGATGGTAAGTGATGATCAGGCCGAAGGTGGAAGCGAGCTTCACCCGGAATCCTCAACCACGAAGGAACTGGCTATCTTACCTCTAACTGCCGGAACACAACAATGCTGTTAACATTGTTGTTATGGCGACAGACTTAGGTAAGATGGTGGTAGCTAGCCAGGCGGACTTAGAACAAGCCCTACCACCAACCAAACCGAACAGAAAAATGTGCCCCCACTGGGAATCGAACCCGGGACCACTGCGTCTGAAGCAGGTGGTTTTACCACTAGACCACAGAGGCGGTTAAAGGTGGTTAGTCAGTCAATTTGTATCGTTAGATCTAAATATTTAATCAAGATAAAGAATGCAATAGTTAAAGTACAAGTAGGTACTAATTTAACTTGTTGTCATGAAAACCGCTTGACACTTGCAATCAACCTAAAACACTCATTTAAACTTTAAATATCCGAACCAGTAATATTTCAGGTTATAATTAATTATTTTGTATAAAGCGCCCCCCTCATAATGAACCAAGATAGTCGTTCAAAATTAATGGGGGGTCGCCTTGTTTCTCATCAAAACGAACTGTTAATAAAGGAGATGGGCATTGTCGTGAGGCGTAGATAAAGAACAGTCGTTCCAGCCTTTGATTCGTTATCATTATTGTTTATGCTTTTTCGAGATCGATGGTGCCGTTTCTTGAGACAAAATATTTCCGTAGATTTGAATCTGGGAAATGAATCTTTGGATCATTGTTATTAGCTGCTACTTTACTTGTAAAAGGATTAATAACTCTTTTTCAAAGAGTTAAGAATATTCCGTTAAAATGCAAATAACGTTTTGACCTAATCTTTTTAGTAAAACCATTTCAGTTGTAAGAACATTAAAATAGTGAATAACCCTATAGTTGCTTCATGAAGTTCATTAATTTTCTTTTCGTTCGCTCGCTAATTAACTAGACTAGCTTTGAGCTGAGCAATGACGTTTTATTTATTACATTTTTCTTTAAAAGTAAATAATTAATAACTATCTTCACGTTCATTTCACCGCCCATTTGTATTCGTACTGAATCAACTTTTTTATGTTTTGTTAGACTTTTAATTTTTCAGAAAGCATCTTCGCACAAATTCTTTAGGAGATTCATCTATCTGAGATCTATTCTTACGTTCAGTCTCAAATAGGTCTATCCTGAATAGTTTCCGGTAAATATTCATACTAAGAGCGGCGGAAGCGGAACTCACGTGAGATAGTGCTCATCTGCATACAACAGAGGTGCACCAATCATACTGTTTTAATTTTAGCCTCCGAAGCGTCTAAATCTGGACTCCCTCGGTGCCGCTAAAATTAATACTGACACACGGGACCCCAGTTTGTCAAATATGACTTCTTGCTCTAGCTAGAATTTGGGTATGAACTCTAACAATTATCAACCACGATTTAATACATCTGCGGGTTATACATCTTTGATATGCGTACAATATGTACCATCCTATACTGCATCTCACTTAACACCAGGTGTGATTGCGGTCATATTATACATAAAAAATAACACGTCAACTGTTATTCTTTCTGCGACCTTATAATTAACTCTACATAAAACTTAATTTAAACTTGTAAAATTAAGGAGTTTGATGAACGGAGACTAATGCCCGTTTTCACCATCAATCCCTAATTTTTAAGCGACCCCTTTGAAAACAAAATTCCTCATATGTGTTACCATAGGGGTCACTTAAAAATTAGGGATTGATGGTGAAAACGGGCATTAGTCATACGCAGAAATATTTTTCCAGAAACCAACTGTTGAAGAACAAATCCTTTCGAGAATTCGTTGTAAATATCACTTTGCACATCGTTATAAATGTGAATCAATCGTTCATTCGCCAGGCTTTCCATTCGTGTGTCCGCTAAGTTACCGGCTCGAGTGGGTAATTAGGCAAATCTAGATAGAGATTCCGTCTTCTAACAATGCCTTTAATTAGTAGATTACTAGCCAGCGCTCCGAGCTATTTCCCCTTATACCCAGCCTCCCTTGCATGCGTCACATCCCAAATGCATGCCTATTGTTAGAAGAATGGCTGTTCTATAAATATGCACTCAATTTTCAACCTAAAAACTTTTCTAAACGTGTGCCATGGAGCTTATCTTAGTATCACACTAATATAATAAAGGCGAAAGTTTGCGAATGTGTGTTTGTTAACTTCTTCACGTCTAAACGGCTGGAACGCTTTTAGTAAAATTTGGTATGGAGTTAACTGACACCCTAGATTAAAACATAGGCTACGTTTTACCACGGGTAACACCGCGGGGCACAGCTAGTAAGCTATAGATATTAGAAGAAACTTTTACGTCTTAACTCTAGTATAGTGTAGTTCGATTATTTTTCTTTATAGTTAGATAGACAAAGAAAAATAATCGTGACCCGAATATGGTTTCGTTTCGTTTGAAAAGGTTAACTTACAAACGGGATAGAAACCCTTTAACATAATTGCCACAACCGTTTGTGATCTTGTCCCATTTCACAAACGTAATTTTTCCCGGAATCAGGAATACAACGAAAGGGAAAGAATCTAAGGGTACTAGAGTAATTCCGTCTTAGCAACGACTTTTTGTAATCACCCTCATAGAGACTTGATAAGGTTTTTTACCAAGAACTTCTGGTATTAGGTTGTCATAATATTCTCGACATTAATTCGTTCGCGGAATTCCGGCATTGAATAGGATTCAGACTTAAGGTAATCCACGAGTAAAAAAATATGAGATAGATTAATATTATCGTACGAGCACCTGAAATCAGATTATTTCGGTAAATAAATATAATTAATATTATAAAGCTGAAGAGTTTGTTTGTTTGCTTGAAAGCGCTAATCTCAGGAACTACTGGTCCATTTGATTTTTTTTTTTGTGTTGGATAGCCATTTTATCGAAGAAGGCTTTAAGGCCTACAGTCAATAGGGGCAGAACAGTAAAAAAGAAAAATGTTGCAAAAACATGAAATATTATACGAAGTCACGGGCACAGCTAGTATTTGAATATAAGAACAATCATTTCCTACCATTAAACCTCTATCTTAATATAACCTTATGAAATCCGGAAACGATGTAGAAATAGTGCAACAAAGTAACAAGGAGAGGATATATCAATTGAGATGTGGTGCTCCTTAGCACTTATTCTATTTGCCCCTTAGTTCCCGAGGAAACAATCAATTGGAAGGAGATTGGCCGACCAGTCGCCTTCTCAGAGACAACAGACGCTAACGTAATACAAATGAAAAAATAAATAGTAAGGTTTTAAACTAAAGCGTGGAAAAGGTAGCACAAGTGTACTTGAAATTACTTANTGAAATTATTGTGAAAAAATGTGTCAGATAATCTAGGAGTATTATTCATACAAAATGTCTTTATAATGTGTTTTTATAAAGTGAACATTATTCAGTGCTCCAAGTGAAAAGATACAAGACATGGCGGAACCGAAAGACAAAGGAATACACCTAGATGATATACTACAAAGGTTTGGCCTGTTTGGGCGATACCAAACCAAAATGACTCTACTCGTTGGATTCGCCTTTTTTACCAACGGCATGCATTGCATAAACTACATATTTGTTGCCGAACAGACTCCTTACAGGTAAAAATACACAAGTACATATTTTTCTTTGAATAAAATATACCTAGGTAGGTACGTCTATTAAGACTTCATTATCATCTTATTTCATAATTATTTCATCCTCTCAGCTTGAAGACTGAAATCAGCAAATATTTAATATTCTCCTTACTTAATATGACAGACAGAGATGAAAATTATCCAGCGTAGTTTTAATTTTTATTCGCTTCTTTCACGGGAATTTTCATAATAAGGTCTGGTATTTCATTTGGTTTATGGAAATTTGTCATAGCATTCATACATAAGATAATATGATATAAAAATTATTATTCTGTGTAACTCTGATAAAAATCAATAATTAAACAAACAAAATAGCATCTAATTTAAAAATTTTGATATTAAAAAAATCATTATAATCCTACAGATGCAAAATTGACGCATGTGAGTCTCAAACTCAGACGTTTGAAGCGCAATGGTACAATTTCACCGCACCTACAGACTACAGAAATTGCTATAGGTATGGAAACACACAAAATAATTCAGAATGCTCAGAGAATGGCTTCGATGCTGAGGTTATTCAACCGTGCACTGATTGGGTTTACAAAGACGAACATAGTTTTGTATCAGAGGTACGTTTTAGAAAAGAGAATAATGTTTTTGAAACTTCAAAGCAAACTAATTTTCATATGAATATTTTCAGTTTGGACTAGCTTGTCAAGAATGGAAACGAACTTTCGTCGGAACGATCCACAGTGTAGGACTAATGTTAGGCCTCTTTTTCCAAGGTCAACTATCCGATAAGTATGATTTTTGTTTAAAATTTTAAAACAAACACGAATTATAATTTATAAATTTAACTACTTTATTTTCATCATAGATCTTTTCCTGACTTTATTGCAGGATTCTTCCTAAAATGCTGCTACTCGTGTTTTCAGGATCGGGAGAAAGGCTACCATCATAATTGCAGGCTTAGCGGCCGCGTTATTTGGCATCGCTAAAAGCTTTGCAAATGGCTATTTAATGTATTTATTTCTTGAACTAATGGAAGCTACTTTTGGAGATAATTGTTCACCAGCATTTATAATGAGTAAGTCAGGAACATTCCTGTCAACATTTTCAATTTATCTCGTCTATAGAATCCAATTACCGTTTTACTTGTTTAATCATTGTTTTCAGGCGTAGAGCTGGTACATAACGATCGAAGATTAGAGCAACAAATATTCTTCAGCATAATATTTGCAATGGGAGGAGTAACTATAGCAACAGCTGCCTACTTATTACCTTACTGGAGAAACTTCGTGTTAGCAATCTACTTGCCTTCACTATTTTACTTGCTTTACTTTTTCGTAATGGATGAAAGCGTGAGATGGTTACTAAGCAAAGGGAAGAAGAAGAAAGCGACTCAAATATTGCTTAAAATGGCAAAAAATAATGGACTAGATTTAAATGGACAAGATCTCAATAATATTCAGTGTGAACAGATTGAGACTAAGAGTTCTCCCCTGAGAGACACTTTTCGGTCTAAAATTGTTGTGAAGAGATTTTCCATTTGCTTGATATGGTGGATCACGTGTACATTCGTCAGCTTTGGGATGGTTGTGAATGTGGTATCTTTGGCTGGAGATAAATATATTAACTTGGGGTTGATGTCTTTGTCTGATATACCTGCAAGTTTTGCTATGGTCTACACTTTAAGGAGATTCCAGAGAAAGAAGCCATTGTTCACTTCATTTATGAGCGCTGGTGTGCTTTGTCTGATCCAACCGTTTGTGCCTAAAAGTGAGTTATTACAACCATAAAATAATAAAATAAATATCTGCATTAATGTTTTATGAAATTCATATATACTTAATGTAAGAAATATTAAACTGTGTGCCTACCATGAATTTACGTTAGGTGTGCTCGCTAGCGACTGCGTAAAAAAATGACATTTAAATGTATGACATATTGTGCAGCGCCCCTAGCGGCTACTTTCAAGAAATAAAATCTTCATATAATTTTTTGACGTATTCGCTAGCGAGCTCACCTAACGTAAACTCATGGTAGGCACACTGAGTGTTGTTTATTTCAGAATACGTCTGGTTATCGACTGGTCTGTATTTCTTGGGTCGGTTTGTTACGACGTTCACGTTTGCAACCGTATACATGTACACATCCGAGTTATTTCCTACGTATACCAGAAACTCGATGCATGCGCTCTGCTCCGCGATAGGCAGAGTGGGCTCTATACTGGCTCCGATGACCCCATTGTTGGTGAGTATTCATAACCATGTTACTATTAATAGCACAATTTGAGAGGAGTGTTCGAATAGAGACGTGAAGAGTTGAAGACGTCTCATCAAGCTAAATAATATTGCAAGATAGTAGCCTTCAGTATTTTTTTTTTGCGTATGTGTGAGGAAATATGTCAGGGTACAGAATAGTATACATCAACACAATATATGGGAGTGTTGAAGATATTTACTTTTCTAAAGTAGAACTAACCTTCTCATTTCCAGACTCAGTACATGGAAAGCCTGCCTACCCTCCTCATCGGAGGCATATCCATCGTAGCCGGGCTAACCACTCTTCTCGTTCCTGACTTGGCCGACGAACCCTTACCCGACAACGTTCGACAAGCTGAGAACCTTGGCAACAACCATCTACCACTGAACAGCGTAGAGAATGATAACACAAAAATACGAAATCCGGAAAGTGCTTAGAAGTGACAAAATCAATCAAAAGTTATTAACGTAATAAAACGTAATGGATTTTGTACTGTTGAAAAATTTAAGCAAGGACAGAAAAATGGGCGAAAGGACCAAAATAAGATGGAATTTATCTTAAAAAGTACAAAGACTGGCTGGCAATGTATATCATTCTTGGATTAAAATAATATTTTGAGAATATCTTATTGACTTTATTTACCTGCCACCAAAAAAAATTACATCGATTAAGTAGAGCTTACAAAATTTCACTCTACGCTACAGCACCTAAATAGGCATCTGAAAACGAGAAGTTGTTTCCCATCAAACATCCTCATCTTGTTCGTCTAAAGACAGAGTTATTGCTACTACTTATTTCATTTGCTAAGACGTTGATCAGGGATACAGCTGATCGAACAAAAAGCCAATAATGTCGGCCGTCTTGTTTTTCCGACAACAGCAATATCGGGGTAATTAGCGGCCCGCAAACATTTGCGGAGCTCGCGACACGAGTTGTTGATGCACGCTCCGGTGGACGGACGAATTTATCTTGACGGGGGACGATTTTCTACAGACTAAAATAAATAATAGTTAAAATTGGACATAAAATTGGAAGGTTTTCAAAATAGTTTTCCGTCTGTCACCACAATTTAAAATTAATTAAACTCTTTACTTTTAATGATTACCTACCATAATCATTTTAAGTGGCTCTATCATTAAATTGCTCTGTAATATTTTGTTTAACAATTAAAACTTGTAAAGCGGAATTGGTTAAAGGTATTTTTTTATGTTACAGGAGACTTATGGAGATGTATGGAGCTACATGAGTAGAGTTCAGATTTAAATGACGATAATTCGGTTGTACTCATTTAATATTGATAATTTTGACAGATTCATATCTAAATACTCAAACAGGTTGCTTTTAAACCTAAATAATGTACCACAACTCATTAAATTCAATTTGAAAACATTAAATTGCATCGGACGTTGCAACAAATACGCCGCTAGAAAATTCTATGAGCACTCAGGGACTACGAGCTAGTGGAAAGAGTTTTTTAAAATATATATTGGTACTTTGAAGCACACACGGCTGTATTAATATTACATGAGAGCCCGACTTTAGATGCTGGACAACCACGTTGGAATAGCCAATTTTTGAAATGTCCAATTCAGGTGAGCGTTTTATATTTTGCGGGAAGAGAATGGGGGAAATTCAGTGGCAAATGAGGTAATTTTATTTAACATCCGAGAATAGCTTTTATTATTATGATTTTTAAGGTCAATATTTAATTTATATTTGACTTATCTCGTTTACCGTAAAATGTAGTTACAAAGGAGAATTCGATATTGCCAGTAGAATCCTTTCATTCTTTCCATTTAGTTAGAATGATATTATTTCCAAAAGTTAAGTCGCAAAGTTCTGGGGTGATATAATGGTAAAATATTAATATGGTTTCTGGGAAAGACAAGTTTAAAAATATCTTTACACGTACCTAAAAATTCCCGTCATCCAAACTCTACTCTCTACATATTCGATTCATCCGAAGTCACTTTAAATTCCTTTGTAGATAGCTAAAATGCAATTCAAGTAATATTACCGTAATATTACCGAATTGTATTACATTTATTGGAATACCGAACACGTATCTAATGCAAGCGTAGCGCATTGGATATCCGTTGCCTTTTACGGTACAGTTAAGGCGGAAGTGTAAACGGGGGTATTCCATTAACGACCTTACGGTAGTGCTTTAAGATAGTTTGCAATGGTATTTTATTGCTTTGATGCCGCAATTGTAAGTAATGAGTTATGCAGAGAACGCTCATTGAATAATATAAAGATCGTTACTTCTAATAAAATAATTTTCGAGGAGGAATTTTAAGAACGGCGTCCGAACATAAGCTGCTTTCAAATATTACAACACAAATTGTTCATTTGAAACAACAAACGATAGGACATCGTTTATTCAACTAGAATGTTATTGTGAAATTCATTGTTAATAATTTCCAAGATGCGATATGCTTTGTGGCATTCCTTTCTAGGATCAAGTCAAAGCTGTCGTCTGACCTCACAATTTCTACTACTATTTTGCTAACTTATACAGTTTACGATAGAATACTCAAGTTCTTTGGAGGTTACAGGTTAAATAATAGTTACTATAATTGATTGAATGGTTGCACCTCTCATAACATCAGGTGTGATTGCGATTAAATTCCTGCCTTCTTCTGCATAAAAGTAAAAAAATGGCGTAGGCTACAAGGAGTAACTCAATGCCAGAATCGTTTTAAAAGGGAGGTCAGAATCTTGTACTTTACCCATGATATTCTGGTGGATTGATACCGATTTCTGACGTATTTGGTTAATAATATAATTTTATTGTACTACCTATTTTAATAGATTCCCATAATCATAGACCTTTCATCAATTCCCGAGTAGAAAAGCCATCAATTTGTACAGTGCTGCACCGTATTGAATTTAAAACACTGACCTCTATTTGGACTCCGGACACAGTGTAAAGAGATAAAGTGTGCCCATTTTACACAAACTATACATATTTTATATATATATGAAACAGTAAGGTAGATAACATTATGTTAGATATTCTAATGAAAATCAGGTGAAAATTAAATGATCGGTTCCATGGTTTTCATTCTCTCTTTTTACCTCTTGATTCATTCAAAGGTCTTTATATTAAAACGTAACGACTAATTCGTCTACCCAACAAACTTCGACTTACGTCGGCCGTTTGGTGTAATGGTTCGAAGCGGACTACTATTCCGAAGGCTGCGGGTTCGATTCCCGCACAGTACAAACATTTGTGTGCATGAACATATTTGTTTGTATTGGACTGGGTGTGTTTCTATGTATAATATTTATGTATGCAAAAAAAAAAGTATTTAAGTATGTTTATATCCGTTGTCTAGTACCCATAGTACAAGCTTTGCTTAGTTTGGGACTAGAAGCGCAGTGTAAAATGTCCAAGGATATAAAATATAAAATAAATAAAAATAAAATAGTTCGGCCAAACCAACGCGATCACACGCGATCAGCCGGCGTGCAGCGATGGCGACCAGACTTAAANTCATCGGTTGCCTAACGTCCTGATGCGTGCGCCCCTTATTCTGTGGCTTCGCCTGGGGCGGCAGCCAAATAAAAAGCCTAACAAAAACCGGACAGGCCGGACATCGGTTATTTTGGCCGGACACGCAATCAAAAAGCCTAACTATGTCCGGCTTTATCCGGACACCTGGCAACCCTACATGTACCTAAAAATTCCCGTCATCCAAACTCTACTCTCTACATATTCGATTCATCCGAAGTCACTTTAAATTCCTTTGTAGATAGCTAAAATGCAATTCAAGTAATATTACCGTAATATTACCGAATTGTGTTACATTTATTGGAATACCGAACACGTATGTAATGCAAGCGTAGCGCATTGGATATCCGTTGCCTTTTACGGTACAGTTAAGGCGGAAGTGTAAACGGGGGTATTCCATTAACGACCTTACGGTAGTGCTTTAAGATAGTTTGCAATGGTATTTTATTGCTTTGATGCCGCAATTGTAAGTAATAAGTTATGCGGAGAACGCTCATTGAATAATTTTAAGATCGTTACTTCTCATAAAATAATTTTCGAGGTTTTTTAAGAATGGCATCCTAAGTAGCTTTCAAATATTACAACACAAATTGTACATTTCAAACAACAAACGATAGGACATCGTTTATTCAACCAGAATGTTATTGTGAAATTCATTGTTAATAATTTCCAAGATGCGATATGCTTTGTGGCATTTGGCATTCCTTTCTAGGATCAAGTCAAAGCTGTCGTCTGAACTGACAATTTCTAACTATTTTGCTAATAAATAGTTACAGTTTACGATAGGATACTCAGGTTCTTTGGATGTTACAGGTAAGTAAATAACTATCATTGATTGAATGTTTGCATCTCACTTAATATCAGGTGTGATTGCGATTAAATACCTGCCTTCTTCTGCATAAAAGTAAAAAAATGGCGTAGGCTACAAAGTAACTCTCTGTCAAAATCGTTTTAAAAGGAAGGACAGAATCTTGTACCTTACCATGATATTCTGGATTGATACCGATTTCTGACGTATTTGATTGATATTTTTATTGTTACTATTTTAATAGATTCCCATAATCATAGACCTTTCATCAATTCCCGAGTAGAAAAGCCATCAATTTGTACAGTGCTGCACCGTATTGAATTTAAAACACTGACCTCTATTTGGACTCCGGACACAGTGTAAAGAGATAAAGTGTGCCCATTTTACACAAACTATACATATTTTATTTATAAATCATAATAAACATCTTAAAGATACAGGGGGTAAAAGTCAGGATACCAAAATGAAACAGTAAGGCAGATAACATTATGGTAGATATTCTTTGTTGAAAATCTTGTGAAATGACCGGTTCCATGGTTTTCATTCTCTCTTTCTACCTCTTGATTCATTAAAAGGTCTTTATATTAAAACGTAACGACAAAATTGGATAACAGAAGCATTGTTTGTGTACACAAAATGGTGGGCCTTCTACGTTTGCTTACTTTACATTCGAAGCGGGCTAAAAAGTGAACTATAGCCACATAACCAATTTTAGTGCCCGTTTTACGACGCTAGACCGATATATTGCCGGTCGAACAAGATATATGTTGCACAAATGCATCCTTCTGCAGAATACATGACTCGCCAAGTGACTGGCTGGATGCATATTGAACTTATGATTCAATGCGGGTTGTGGTTTGGAAAATTCATTGATCTATCACGACGAGAATTACACATTCTACTGATATCTATAGAGTGTGTAGAGCGTAAGAGAACGATTTTCAAAAACGAATATCATAATATTTTTAAACTGAACTTCAGGTCAGTCTGCTAAAAATTCAGTATAAAGATTTTTCTTTCAGTAAATTGGCTTTACACTTTATTGAATTCAAAACCAATCGAATTTCCTCCTGTGTCTCGCACATATTCAAATTAAATTTTGCAGAATATCTTCTAAGACTTAAGACCCTATTAGCATTCAATCAGCAATGATATACACAAACAATTTAATCCGTTCAATTACTGCACAAGATTGAACATTTTCAGTA